CTTGTAGAAATATCATCCTTATCTCTGCCTTCATCTTTTCATGGCATTCTCCCTGTCTGCATGTCTCCCTGTCCAAATTTTCCCATTTATAAGAATATCAGTCATACTGGACAGCACCCACTCTAATGACCTTGCCTCAACAAATCACATCTGCAATCACTGTATTTCCAAATGAGCTCACATTCTGAGGTAGTGGGGTTTAGGACTTCAACATATGAAGTTGAGTGTGGACATAATTCACCCATAACACTCAGTTATAGGTTTTAACATATCTTCAACTAGTATTTGTAAAATTATTCCCCAAAGTGATTATACCAATTCACCCACACAAGCAGTGTATGAGTGTTCCTGTTGCTCCACATCCTTGCCAACACTTGGTATTGTCAGTCTTTCATTTTTGTCCATAAAATGGCAATAAAATTATATTCAATTTACTTAATTATTAGAGAGCTTGAGCCCTTTTCATGTTTATTGAGTGCTCCTGTTTTCATTTTTGTCAATTGTCTTTTAATTTCTTTTGCCTTTTTTTCTATCATATTTACTAAAAACATATGTATTGAATGCCTATTATGTACCAGATATTATTTTAGGCACCTGAGATATGGTAGGACATAATTTCCATTCACATATGGTTTATATTCTAGAAAGAATGATATAAAATCCAATATAAGGTAATTAAATAGCATATTAGGTGATAAGGGCTGAAGAAAACTAAAGCAGAACCCTGGCTGGTGTGGCTCAGTTGGTTGGGTGTCTTCCTGTACACCAGAAGATTGCTGATTCGATTCCTGGTCAAGACACATGCCTGGGTTGTGACTTAATCCCTGGTGGGGGGCTATGCAGGAGGCAGCCAATCAATGTTCCACTCTCGCATCAGTGTTTCTCTTTCTTCCTCTCACTTTCTCTCTAAAAAGCAATACAAATATATATATTAAAGAAAAGTGAAGCAGAGAAGAAGGTAAGGTGTGTCTTGTGGTGACTTGCAATTTAAAATCTCAGGGCCAGGTCAAGCCATATTGAGAAGGTAATATTTTGCAGAAATACTTGAAAGAAGTGAGAGAGCCAGCCATGTGCCCAACTGGTGGAAGGATTTTTCAAGAAAAGGGTTAGAAGAGCAGCTATCTGAGTAGGGAAGGAGAATGGGAGGTCAGATCTGAGAGGTGAGGGGCAGAAGGGGCAATCTCGTGCAGAACCTCATAGGTGGGTGTTAGGACTTTAGCTTTTACACTTCAGTGAAAAATCATGGGGGGATTTTGAGCAAAGTGCTTTCTAAAAGCATTCTTCTAGGTACTAGGTTGAGTATAATAATACCAAAATCAAAAATTAACAGCAATCCTATGTGCAGTGCTTTGTTCCATGCACTGAGCCAGGAACTTTACATATATTAACTCATTTATATTAACTTTACATATATTAACTCATTCCAGACAGGCGGGGAGACCTGCTCAGGTTATTAGTCCTTTCTCACTGATTTATAGAAGTTCCTTACGAGTTCTAGGGACTGCTTATCTTTCGGTGATTGTATGTGGTTGCAAATATCTTCTCCCCTTTTGTGGGGTGTTTTACTATTTAAATTATGACTTTTGCTATTCAGAATATATATATTTCTCTCTTGTACTTTTCTCTCATTAACTTTTTAGTAAATGCCTTCTTTAACTCAAGTCACCCACAACTTTTGGCTAGTTATTTCCTCTTCTACCTGCTACCATGACACTTGGTACAAACCTCTCTTGGAACACTAGCATTACCTAGCCTTGCATGTCTTCATCATTGTTCTGTGAGTTTCAGGCTGTGGGATCCTGTCTTACAAATTATGTCCCAGGGACTAGCATGTGCTCAATAAATGTTTGTAGAGGTCGGTGGGGAAATGATACAATGCTGATTGCTTCAGGGAGTGAAATGGAGGAGAAAGTGGTTGCAATGGGAAACGCAACTGCATGCCGCATAGTGCCGCGGCTCAAAATCCCGAGAACACTGGTATGCTCGCACGAATTAACCTTTGCAGTTCAGCGATCACCCTCATTTTCCTGACCCCACTGTGCAGGAATTCGCCAAAGGGGAAGCAGAGTGCTGGTTCCTAGAATGGCTACTCTCAATATTTTAGTTGCTTGGAGTATTTCCCTCAACCTTTGGGCAATGGTCCGCGGTGGAAGGGCCAGGAACCGAAGGCGAGGCACCGAACACTAACCCCGGCCCCAACCCGCCGGGATTAGACGCCGCTATGCTCACTGCGCATGCGTCATTGGCGGTCCTGAGGGGGAGG